GGCAGTGTTTCGTTCTGCTGTGCATGCAGTCGCTATGAGTCGGAAACGACTCAACAGCACTTAACAACAACAACAAATAGAATGAAGGTGGAGAATTATCTGACAGAATGGAAAATTCTCTAAACACAATGAAAGAGACTGAACAACTCTTGGAGAGTTTAAGATAGTGACATAACTCGGGGGGAAGGGGTAGCAGGGAAGCATTATACTAGGAATTATTTGTTTATATATAATTTGCCTCCTCACCCTGAAGATTATTTCCTTAAGAAATAAACATGTCTTATTTATTTTTAATGTATTTATTTTTATCTCAAAACACTACTGTAGTAGCTAGTATATAGCAGGTATTACAAATACCCTATTTGCTGAAAAAATTAACTATCCTAACCTTAGTTCCTCCAACTTCTTGTGGTCAGGAATCTTCAATAGTCACTGCTATAGTGAATGAAAACAAGAGCTGGAGCAAGGAGATCAGGGAACTTAAAACTTTAAAGCATTTAAAAATATCTATGGTCAGTGAGGAAAGTGAAGAGAAGAGGAAACATGTCAGAGTATGTTATCATTCAACGTTACCCACATGGGAATCCTCATCCAGATGTAACCTTAATACAAACATACCAAATTCACTGTGGCCAAATATCCTAACTATGATATTCTATAATTAACAATAATAAACAACCTCAGTCCAGAGCATGTGCTAAGCGTAACATGAGAACTTGGAAATCCTTCAATATATCCTTGGTAGTAGCAATGAGTCTAGGAAAGAAAAAAAGCAAAGGAGTTATTTAGGAATTGACAAAACTTTCTAAAGATTTTGTACTCTCTAATTTATTTACTTTTTTACCCCTACATTTTAAAGGCTACACAATTTAAATCAATGTAAGTAAAGTGATGCTCAGAAAAGAAAGATTCCCCATACTTACCTCTTTCACTACATTAACTATTATCTTTTTTAGATCATCTCTTGGGATTACTATTTTATATCCTCCTTCCAAAGTGTTATCCCATATTGCAGGAATTAAAAGATAAAATTATTTTCTAATATATAATTTGCGTCCTCAGCTTATAATAACCAGTTTGACCAAGTTTAAAATATAAGCTGATCATTTCAGTTCTAATTCTGTTTCAACATTCCAATACCTACCTACCTACCCCATTCCACCAAGTCATCAGCCCTTAGTGTCGGCTTTTCTTGAAAGCAGGTACTCTTTTTTTTTTTTTTTTTTTTAAAGCAGGTACTCTTTAATGATGTTCATGGTATGGTGCCCAATTATTAATCAGAAAGATTCTTTCCTAGCTACCTGATTTCCTGAGACAATTTCTTACTGTCCTGTATCCCAACTTCAGAAATATCTTAAATTCTCCTATGAAAACAGACATATTATCCAAATACATTTCTTTATCTTATTTAAAACCTGTAGTTAGTCTGTCTGGGTACACTGATCTTAGATAGTATGATGGTTAAGATTGTGTGTCAACTTGGGTGGGCCATGATTCTTAGTGGTTTGGCAGAGTTCATGTAGTCATTCCCAATGATGAGATCTGATATAATGTAATCACCTCCATGATGAGAATTCTATGAGAAGCCAATCAGCTGAAAGGGCATTTTCTCAGGGGTGCGGTTTGTTTCCAATATATATGGACGTTCTGATAAAGCTTTCTGGCTTTTTGCTTGATCTAGATCCTGCAGCTGGCTCATTATCATCTGACTCATCTGACCCCTGGTTGTTTAGACTTGAACCAGTGGCCTGCTATATTGCCTGCCAGTCTCTGGATCATTGCTTTTGCAGCCTGTGAGACAACAGCCTGCCATCCTATCTACTGATCACAAATTTGTCAGCCGCCACAGCCAGTAGCCTTCTGTGTTGCCTGCTGATCTTGAGTTCACAGCCACTGCAGCTATATGAGTCGGAAGAAGCCTCCAGCCTGATGACTCACCCACAGACTTGGGACTTGCCAGCCTCTACACCCACAGGAGCCATTTCCTTGAGATAAATCTGTATCTCTCTCTATGTATGTTTGTGTTTTTCTTTTTTTGCTTCTCCAGAGAACCCAGCCTAAGACAATCAGTTTTATGATTCCTGATTCCTTTCTCTCATCCTCATTCTCTTCAGTTACCTTTACAAGATACTGATTAATAATTACGACATAACAACATTCATATTAAGTGCTTGATCAGAAGTAAGGTTTTCATTTCAAGTAATGATAGACTAAGTAAATGAGAAGTAAATGAGACCCGTTCTCTCACTGAGAACAATGGGAAAAGTGGAACATAATGGTTGTTTTTAATTATGTTGGTGGCACATGATACGTAACAATATCAATAAATCATTGTAGCTCCAAGATCTCACAGATTTTGGCAACTAAAAGATACAAAGCTAGCATTTAAGGTCAATTGCTCTCATAGAGCATCTGTCATTTGTGGAAGTAGTGATAGAGAAGCTAAGTAAAGGTTTTGCTAATCTCAAAAAATAAAGGAGCATAAATTAGAGTTCAGAGATCCACAAAGACAGCACTCTAGTAAAACGTCCATACTCTGGATTGGAATTCTAAAAGGCTATATCCTAGCAATAGTGCGGGTGAGAAATAGACTGGTCAGAAAAACAGAATCCCAACTTTGATTAACCACAATCACTAAAACTGTATGAAGATGAGTTGGGATTATTATTATCCCTACCCACTAGTCAAAAGCAATGTATATTCTTTCTAGAGAAAGATATCATCACTTTGAATCTCAATTGAATTCTATAACTTTTCAAACACAGTGTCCAGTACTAAAAAAGAAAATAAGGAGACACATAGGAAAACAAGACCACATTTTCAAACCAAGAAGTACATTCAATAGAAACAGAAATATAGGGCAATAGAAAACAGAGTTATCATATAAAGACCAAAATAACGTACTTAACAGGTTCAAAGATTAAAAAAAAAAAAAAAAGATTACAAATTCAGCAGATAACTCAAAACCATTATATATATATTTATATATATACACACACAAATTGAAATTCTATGACTAGAAAGTATTATAATTGAAGTTAAGAACTCAATGGATGGGTTCAAAGGCAGAGTAGACAACACCAAAAAGAGAATTCATGAACTAGAAGATATGTTTTTTAAAAAAACACCAGACATAAACAAAGGAATATAAAAGTTTGGAAAATACCTAAGAGAAGAAAGAGACATAGAGGACAAAGTGAAAACATCTAACATATGTGTAGTTTGACTCTCAAAAGAGAGAAAGAATGAAGCAGAGGCAGACTTTTTGAATAATCAATGTCTGAGTACTTTCTAAAAATGAAGAGAATAAGTAAAGCTACAAATTCCAGAAGTCCTACAACCAACCTAGCCACATCACAGCAAAACAAATGAAAAGCAAAACAAAGAAAATTTCTTGAAAGTGACCAAAGAAAAGAATGCAAACTATGATCAAAGTTGCAATTAGACTGGCAGCTAATTTCTCAATGAAAATACTGGAAGCCAGAAGATAATGCAATAATAGATTCTAAATACTGAAAGAAAATAACTGGCACCCAATAATTCTATATTCTTCAAAAAGGGATATGAAATAAGCAGAGATAATTTATCCTCAGAAGGCAAATACTAAAGGAAATATCAAAGGCTGTTCCTTAGGGAAAAAGATAATAATTGCAGATCAGAAGTTTGAAGATACAGGAAGTAATGAAGAACAGCAAAAAAGAGTAAATATATAGGTAAATCCTAAAATTACATATGAAATAGTAATAAAATATCATATGAGTTTTTAAGTATATACAAAATTGTATGAATATATATCAAAAATAATGTGTAAGTCAGGAGGAAATTAAAGTTTTCTAAGATTCTTGTATTATACAAGGAGATGTTAAAGTACCAATTTATATGTAGACTTTAATAAGCCAAAAAATCATCTTATAATTTCTAGGATAATCACTAAAAGAAAGTTTGTAACTATCAAATAAAAAGAAAATGAAATGGAAAGATTTTTTAATACAAATAAATTTTTAAAAATGAGAAAAGATGAGAGGCGGGGCAAGATGGCGGACTAGGCAGAAGGATTGCACAGACCCTCTTCAACAAACAAAAGGGAAACCAATAAACACAGACACAGAAGATAATCTTGGACCCCTGAGCCTTGAAGGAAAGGATGCCGATTTGGACTAAACCCCAACTAGCAGAAGAATTTGCGTGAAAATACCAAAAAAAAAGGAGACCTACGGAGCTGCGGTCTGACAGCGAACTGAGT